CATTATGAAATTTGGGACACCAATCTTAACAAAACATTCTACCAACAGGTACGTCTAGAATGCTCCATTCTTCCTATTTCAAGCTTCTACAAAAATGTGAATCTATAAATGTTTCATTGTTATGATATTTAATATAAATATACCTATACATCTTTTGGTTTTGAAGTTTCTACTAAAATTTTCGTTATCATTTTTTAATTACATAACTTTGATTACAAAACATCCCAAACAATTACATCATAATTAATTAATTAATGGGATACACCGCTAAATGTTTAAGTAAGAAATGAAAATTTTCCCCCAGATATACCCTTATTAATGAGGGAAAAAGTAAGAGAGAGAATAGAGTAATAATGAGAAAAAAAAATGAAAGATAAGGTAATATACCAAGTTGTCAGCCTTTTAATTAATGCAATAGATAAAATTAATTAGAGACAAAAAGGGTAAAAACACATTAAATGTTTAGACAGATCCAAGATGGTTCTTATAAAAATAAAACTAAAACAATTCAAATTTCAAATTTTTATAAAAAGAAACGGAGGGAGTAGTTATCACTTTTTAATTACATAACTTTAATTATAAAGTATCCCAAACAATTACGTCATAATTTAATAATTAATGCAATACACAGCGAAATGTGTCGGCATTATTGCTTTTTGTCGTGGCTGATATAATTATTTCTTTTCCCAGATTAATTATGAAAAATAAATGAAATCAAAATGTTTCGCACTTCTAGTGAGCGCATTTCATCTTGGGACACAATAAAAAACAAAATAATATTACTGATTCAATAAGAAGTTGCGACATAATTAATAAATTAATATTACCATGCTTCTGACTCAATATTTGTTTTACAGAGATTTGTGGCATCAAGAACGATGGTGTTAGATGAGTATGATGTTAGCATGATAAGCAATGACCAATTTCCAGTGGACAGTTGTCCTGAAGTGGAAATTCTGGGCATAGAAGGATTTGATTATGAAGGGGTAACATTTCCGTATACATTGCTTGAAAGATTTCCGCGGCTGACTGAGCTTCGTGTGAAGGATAGTTCTTTCGAGGAGATATTCCCATCACACATTGTTCATCAAATTCAACAACTTCATAATTTGACAGTGGTTAAGGTGTTCCGATGTCATCAGCTCATCTATTTAATGAAAAATTCAGCCGCCAAAAGTTTGGTGAATCTTGAAACACTGGGTATATATGATTGTGAAAAGATGGAGAAAATTGTAAAGAATGAGAAAAATGACGATGTGGAAGGTGGAATCACGTTCAGTGCGTTGAGAAGATTAAAACTCAGTAGTCTACCAAGATTGAAAGCGGAAGAGCATAAAACGGATTTTAATATTGAAGACCCAGCAACAAATAATCATAAGGTATGTTCAAATCAATTTACGGTAAAATATAGTAACTAGCCCTGTGTTTTATCGAAGTTATAGAAACCTTCCTTTTATTTTAAAAATATATATAACTCCCTTAAAATTAAAATGCATGTTGAACAAACCTCTCTTGTATATTTGATTTGAAATTCCATTTCCATCTACCCAATCGTAAGGTTACAGTTAAGTTTGACCTTTAAACTTTTATTTTGACCAAAATACCCCTCGTTCACATCAAAGTTATTGAAACATTCATTTTTTTGCAAAAATAATTTTTAATACCACAAAAAATAATTTTAATACATGTATTTTCAGACTTTTTAAAATGTATTAAAATTTTTTAATTTTAATTCTATTATAAAATTTTATAATTTTAATTGTTTGTCACGCATATTGAAATTAATTTTTTAGGTTTCTTTAAATGGCTAAAAAATATGTTGAAGAATTATTCTTTTCGTCATATAATATAGATTATCTAAGTTTGATAGATTATAGAAATTATTTAAATTTATAGTTTAAAATTTTTAAACAAATGAGAAATATTTATAACTTATTTAGTCAATTATATATTTATTTAAAGAATTAACCAAATTTCCACTCACTAAATTACTTATTTTCAATCCTAATATGATAAAAACGTTGAACAAATAAGTAGCTGCAAAAAGTGAAAAAAAAATTAAGGAAAAGAAAGCATTTTAAAATTTTCAAAACTTTTTAGCCAACATTTAAGAATTTAGTATTATGAAGGGTAAATTAGTAAATCAAAAGTATTTTAATATAAATTTTAATTAGAAAAGCATCTTTTTAGAATAGTCCCAACAGATTTAACTATTTGGACTTAAGTTTATGTTTTTAAAATAGAAGGAAAATTTGTAATTAGGGCAAAATGCAAGAAAGGGCAGAATATTTTACTCATCAATTTATTACTGTTTTTTCTGGACAAAAATTCGTTTTTTCCTTATCTAGTATGTTCTTTCCTTACCAAGATTTTCTTACTTTATTAACTTCTTAATTTCAAACTTGCGCTGTGAAAATTAATTTCATTGGAATTATTTACTCTGTTCAGTAAAAATATGTTCTTATTTTTTCTTGTCTCAATATATCTAAAAAAATTATTTCACTTAAATTACTTACTTTGGTATTAGGCTAGCTATTGTAGCATTTTATAGTTCTCTTGTTTTTTAGTTAGTTATTTCTATTTGGTGAACTTGAAATTTGAAGTTGAACTTTTATCAATCTCTTGAAGAATATTGTGGTACACAAGAGCTATACTTGCACATTTACACAATCTTTCATGAAAACTAAGCCTCACAAATCAACAGTAACTTCGTTTTTGTTTTTTGCCAAAACATTTTCGTCTAATTATATTTTCTTTCAACAGGTGTCATTCCCAAAGTTAGAGATATTACAATTATTCTATTTAAACAGTTTGATTCCACCGATATGGGATGACAAACTTCCACACCACTCATTTAGCAACTTGAAAACATTGATTGTGATGAGTTGTGGCTTTGTGAAATTGGCGCCCCTTCATGTGATGAAATATTTAAACAACTTGGAAGAATTGAAAGTCATGTACTGTTCCATGTTGGAGGCAGTGTTTGATTTTAAAGATTTAAATGATTATAAAGAGATTATGTCATCATCGATGGTTGTGCCACTGAAAAAGTTAAGGCTAATAGATTTGCCAAAATTGAAGAATGTGTTGGGCAATAATGACCGCCAAGGAGAAATAAACTTAGTTTCTTCACTAGATGGTTCATGCCATCAAATAGAAGAACTTATGACGAAACAGAAAAAAGAGGACAATGAGGACAAGAAAATCATTTTCAGCAAACTGGAGTTTTTGGAACTTGATGAATTACCAAGGTTGAAGAGATTTTGCAGCCAAAATTATACTTTCAAGTTTCCATTATTACAATGTGCCATCGTAAGAGAGTGCCCTCAACTCACAATATTCTGTTCCGGAGCCATTCATGCCCCGCTGCTTCAAAAGGTTCGAGTGACGAAGCAATACAAACGTCATCACATAGATATTTGGATGACTGATCTTAATGCCACCATCCAACATCGGTTTACTATTCAAGAGGTTAGTCCAACATACTGATATTCTTGTTTTTCTGTTTTTAAATAATTCCTCATCATCTATAAAATTTAGGTTCAGATAAATATCTGACAATAAATATTAAAGTTTGGACATTCCGTCGTCTACCTGAAAATTGTAAACTTTTCATCAAATTACAAGACCTTGATTGCACGCGAAAGCTGATAAGCAAATGATAATTAATGGATGTGGCAGACTGCAAATAGTGTGATAATGTTTGTAGATCTCTGACTGGAAAGAAATGGGCCTATGAAGTGATTCAAAGAATTTTGTTTCTGTTTAAAGTGATTTTGAGGAGGGGAGGGGGGATTAATGATGAAAATATAAGTATTAGAAAAAGATGACAGGTCAATTAAGAAAGATTTTAGCTACAATTATATAAGAAATTATTATTTAAAAAATATTCTGACCTTTATTAAATTGCCTTCTTATTAATAATTTTACCAATAATTTTACAGGTTATTTTCATAGTCAAAAAAGCCTAGCCTCAAATGTGAATTCGAAGGGGATTTTGGGTTTTTTTTTTTAATTTAGAGAAAAGAAAGGGGGTTATGAAGTTAATTTAAACGATTTTTTAAATTTTAATGTGTGGATCTTATTTCATGGTGAAATGATGAAAATTTAGATATTGGCAAAAGATGAGTGATCCATTTAAAAAGTTTTGATTCTTGAAAACAATATCCTGATGTAATCTACTAAATCGCCTACTCATTATGGTAATTGTTTTATTAATTATCATTTTATAGGTAATTTCCACAACCGGAAGCATGGCTTTAAATGCAGAGAATATCACAATGATAAGGGATGTCTTTCCTGAAGTGCGAACTCTTTATGTAGAAAGCTTCAAGGATGAAGGGGTAACCTTTCCCCATAGCTCCCTTGAAAGATTTCCCATGTTGAAAAAGCTTTATGTGGAGAATAGTTCCTTTGAGGAGGTATTCCCCCCACAAGATGAGATTCTGGATTTTATGGGAAAAATCCCTTCGTTTGAAGAATTATACATTTCCGATTTGGATCAACTCAAGAGCATATGGAAGGATGACTCTCAACTACCACCAATTCATCAAGGCCTAATAAAATGCCTCGAAGTTATAAGTTGTCATAGCTTGGTCAAATTGGCACCATCCTCTGCTTCATTTCAAAGTTTGGGGAGGCTATATATATCTGGATGCCATCAACTCATCTATTTGGTGACAAGTTCAACTGCCAAAAGCTTGGTGACTCTTGAATGGTTGGGGATAAACGATTGTAAAAAAATGGAGGAAATTGTATTGAATGAGAACAATGAAGGTGTAGAAGGTGGAATCACTCTCAACCGATTACAGCAGATTGAACTTACTGATATGCCAAGCTTGAAGATGTTCTCTTCACAAAGTCTGACATTTGAGTTCCTTGAATTAGAAGTGATAGAAATAACTAGATGTCATGAAATGAAGATGTTTTGTCCAGGAGCGTTGGAAACACCAGAGTTGTCTAGAGTAAAAATAGAAGAGCATGAGATGAAATGGAAGGACAAAGAAGACCTTAACAAAACAATAGAAATGCTATCCTCAGCAAAGGTATGACATACCCACACTAACAAATATTGTTTTGGAAAATGAGTTGTTAATGACCAAGGAAACAGAAAATTGATTGTATCGTGCTTATGCCAATGACGTCTCTTTTCAAAATTACCTTCTATTTTAGGCAGCTAATATCATGATTTGTTATTGCAGGATAGTGTTAATATATAGAAGGATAAGTCCATCATCCATGTTATCATTCTTTCCAGGTTCGTTACTTTTATGATTTTTCTGCTTAGCGGCTGTTTTTTTTCCTAGTGATTATTATGATATCAATAAAAGCCTCATATATGAGGGGACAAGCTTGAAAATAAAAAAACTTGCATCTCTATTTTTCTCCCTATACGCCAATTTTTTTTCTTTTTCTTAAATTATTTGTATGTTTTTGCTACATTTGTCTGTGCTTTACTATCACTCAAAGATATGAGTTGCTTGTCGAAGTTTATTTCAATTTCTTTTCCAGTAGTAGTTGCCATAATATCAACAACTGCTACATATTAAAGGATGAAACGGGGGAGCCATCTTTTTGTGAGTGAGTGTGTTTTTTTTTTTTAAACTTTTTTATAAAATTTTTCTTTGTTTCTGTACATTCTCTGTGTATAGTATCGGTTGAGTTAGTGAATCGCTTTTGCTTATTTTAAAGAGATCAACTGTGATTAAGAAGAAAAGAAACAGTTGGCGTATTTCAAAAAGGATGATTTTGATAATTTGTTTACCCTAACTATTTAACCCATGTTTTCAACTAAATATGATATATATATATTTACAGAATAGAATGACAAAAACAGAGGGGCTGTTTGTTTCTGTTTTTTTATTTTTTCCTCAAAATAGTTTTATAAAATGGTTTTTTAAAACAAGTTTTGAAAACAAAAAAAAAATCTGTTTGGTTAATTGCTTCAAAAGACTGCATTTGAACATAAGCATACTGAGACTGGAAAGTGAAATTTTAATGAGAACTCAAGTTTTTAAATGAGAAAAAAGCCATCAAGCGGAGAAGAAAAAGTTTTTCCAATTTTTGCAAACAAAAAAATAGGAAATGTGAAAACAAAAACAAGAAAAAAACTAAAAGTTGTTTTTGTTTTTGAGTTTTTAAAAATACTTCTGTTTTTTGGTTTTTAAAAACACTTAATTAACAGCAAATTACAAAATAAGCCTTTTTATTTTTAAAAACAAAAAACGGCTTTCAAAATAAGAAAACAAATAAGGCTTTTTGACGCATTGACTATAAAATGAATTATATTTGATAACATGAATATATGTAGAATACACTCAATAGCCTTCGTTTCCTTGATTGATTAATGCAGGGGGCTAATCCGAAGTGTGGACTACAAAATCCTTGACTACAAGATGATAAATATGGACAGACATTTGTGCGGTGATGCTTTTGTTGAATTCTCAATTATTTGATAAATGAGACTATGTTTTCATCATAAACAATGGGGTGATGCATGACAAAACTCTACCCAAAGCGTGGTTTGTTTCATTAATGTATGAAATACTCAAATTGGTGTGGTGCGATTGTGAAGCTTTCATTCAACATCTGTGTGGTTTGCTTTGTGTTATAAAGATTATTAATTAGTCCAATGAGATTGGTCACAATTGACCATGGAGTTCTTGATCATTGTATGAAACAATATTTATTTTTATGATCTGTGAAGGCACAAAAAAACAATAAATGAAATTAGATATAAGGTTTGTGTAATTGACTAGGACTTAACTACAAGCAAGCTAGATAAGAGATGTTATTTTTTCACACCAATTTAAAGATTTAAATCATGCCAATCTATCTATTACGGTCCAAATTTCAAAGGATAATGGTAGGCAATAATGAAAATAACTCTATTAGGTCAAATATTAAACTGTTAGCTAGAATGAATGAAACATCTAGCATTTAAATTCACCATATTTTACTTTCTTGATATTAGTTAACAAAATTACTCCCTGATGCCCTTTATTTTATCTTTCACTTTACTTGCTTATGCCATTTTTAATGTAAAAAGGTCACTTATATACTCTCTCACATGTATTAAGAATTATCCAAAAAAATAAAAAAGAAAAGCTTATACATAGACCACTAAAAAGCAAATCAGTGGTGCATTTTGTACTGTCGCAAGCAACTGGAATGACAATCCTACTCGAAATCCTGATTGAGCGTGCTCGTAAGAAAAGTTAAACAAAATAAAACCAACCATTTAGCTGACTGAAATCCTGCAGTGATAACCACAACACTATTCCTTTCCACCTTTCATGATACTCCTCTAGTCCTATTTATAAGGCACTTCCAGTATGTTTTACACAGACAAAGAAAAACCTTAAACTTTATTAACTCTCATTTAAAATTCAATGACTTTTCAACTTTATCCCTATTTAATATGCATTATACTTCATATAAACAAAGTCAACACAATAATAAATGAGGGGTAAAATTGTACATCTATACAAAAAATTTCTTTCAGTGCCCTATAAATAGGACCAAAAAATACCTTCTTTCTTTGCCCTATAAATAGGACTAGAGGAGTATATAGAATGGTGACTTAGCAAAACTTACTGAATAGACAAACATTATTGTCGACTTCAATCTAAAGGACTTCAAAATGGTTGGAGGTATTAGTTTGACAGACCAAAATGAGTGGAGCTCATGACCTTCTTTCCTTCCTTTCAGTTGACCTTCTCTCCTCCCCCTCTTTTCGTTTTTGCTGCCTGTCCAACATTACAACAATGGTCATAGTATCAAACACATCTCATTCTAGAATACATAAAGAAGCTCAAAGTTATTCATAATCTCACCCATCACCAGCATTAACAGCAAAATTGCAGCATGAGTAGGCACAGAATCCTTCCCCATCCACCTAAACAGGATTATTATTCACTGAAATATTGTGTAAAAATTTGAAGCAAGTTGCACGTGTTGGTGCATTTGTTTAAATGAATACCTCGTCCCATTTTGATTTTTTGTTTAGTCTACGATCACGATTGGTGGCCTCAGCAATAGGAGGCATCAAAGGCAAACCACCTGAAGAGAGGAGAGAAAATCAGCATAAAATAGAAAATCAGTAGTAAGAATGACCTTTGCCATACCATAGGTAAACTAGGTTAGGTTGCATTTTAACCTGCAACGGGTACATTGATCCTTGGAACACCAGTTACAATTCCTGGTTGTGCTCACCCAGAGGCAAATTCAACTTTCTGGGCTTTATTCTCCTGCTCTTTCTTGTCACTTCCACGTCTCATATCTGCCTATGTGACAGTTAGGTAAAGCAACATCAGTATCAAGTACTTAAAGAGAGCTTGACTGCAAGACCAATCCGTCAATTAGGGACGAAAGTCGGCCTTAATGATCTGATGGTGCTGAGAAAAATATGAACAAATAACAAAATATGGCATGACAAATAAGTTGGTTAAATTCGCAATGAAAACTTAAACCAGGCTAGTATTTAACTTCCAAAATCATGACCAACATATTCATAAAAAATATAGAAAAAACCCCAAAGCAGATATAACTAGCCATAACAGCTACGTATAGATGTTGGCTGTCCATTTCAGCGTAAATAATATTATCAAAAGGACTTTTGAAGAGAAAAAACACAATCCAACGGCAAAACATAATTTCAACATCAGGTTAGAAGACAAACAAGTTCTTTAATACCAGATATCAAGTCCGTTGTTAGTATAGCGAACAATAATAGCCTAAACAGCCCAAATACCAGCAAGCAGTATATCTAGAATATGACACACATGAAATATTAATGTTTGCAAGAACACACAAGAAGTATCATACAATTGACAAAATCAGGTAAAATATGAGCATGAAATAAACAAGTACAGGGAAGCACAAGAAAGTAGATGCAGAGAAGAAACAGTTAAGCACCTACTTGGTCGTAGTAGTCACTTGGGTCATATCTATGAGGGTCCAATACATCCTTATCAAAGCAAGATCCTATTTGGTCAATATCTTGATACCTCCCAGCATGCAATAGGAAGTCAGGGTTCTGATAGTCCTTCCTACTGCGAACTGCTACATTAAAACTTTTTCCAGCCTTCTTATACTCAAGAAATTTATTTATCTTTCTCTGCAATAATAATAAAAAATCATAGCACATTGTCATGAAAGAACAACAAATATGCAAAAGCTAAAAATAGTTTTATACAATTTTCTACTTTATCAAAAATTGAGGGAAATTATTTTTTAATTTAAACTATTACTTAAAACTGCTAAACTGCCAGTGTACTAATTAAGGAGTAAAGTGATGATCATTCAGCTTCCCATGTGCAGAATGTCAAGAAGGGAGTAAGAAAATATAATAATATAAGGTGCACTCAATGAGATGTTTAGTGGTCAAAAAACTTGATACAGTGAAGTATTAGCAAATTACCACTTTTTTCATAATTCAATGATTTAATCACAGAATTAGTAATATCTGAAATGATAAGTCTTGAATTCATATTAAAGGGAACATGTTAATGAATCAAACCATAATACCATATATCACCACTTAGTAATTAAACAAGAGCAGCTGCCGAAATTCATCGAATAATACCCCTCAAGATGAGTGATTTCCACACTTTTACACCTTAAATTAATTTTGGATGGGTAGATTCTCACACTAAAACACTTAATCAAAAATTTCAATGCCAAAATTCTAAACATAGATCACAATATTCAAGTGCTTCTACAGGACCTTAGAATTATGTATGTATGTGTAATTTACATTACATATATGCACAATCACTAAACAGGACTGGAAGTCGTAAGAGATTAGAGTGTAATATTGCATTACAACTCTTCCAAAGTATCGCCAAATTGGTTTAATCATATTCACTAACTAACATATGAAAATAATAAAATTAATGGATAAGAAGCTTAAGAATTTAAATAGCCATAGCAAATTAAAAGCGAAGCTCTAGTGTGGCACAAAGCAGAAAGGGAAAAAGACATCAAACTACACAAGCACACAATAGTTGTTTTTCTTTTAGGGGGAGGGAGCAAAGCACACCAATTCAATTCAATAAATTAGCACATATCTAAAATCTATCGAGAATAATCTATTGATTATTGCAAAATTAATCTAAAGGAATTTACTTGTAGGCATTCAGAGCATCTAACTTTGGGTGGTGGTGGGAGAAATCTATCCAATGGATCTACAAACTTCTGCTATTCCTGAGTTGTTTCTTCATGTTCTGCACCATTTGATCCAGCCACAGCATCAACTTGTATGGTATGAGATGGCTCAGAAAACTAAGGAGTGTTAACTTGACTACTAGGTGTCAAAACCTGAACAGATCCTGATGATGCTCCATCTAGCAAATCACTTACAAAAACACATTCAAGGAAGTTCTTCAGAGGGGAAAAAACAGTGGACCAAGAGGCAAGATGATAAACAGAAAAACAAAATAAAACAATAGGATTGTTCCCATCTAATATACTTCAGGGAAAAGTGAACTAAAACCACCCCAACGTAATGTCCAAGCCTCTTTTTCAATAATCTTATTCTTAAATACCCAGACAGAGTCCAAAAGATTGGCATATTCTCAAATTAATAGTCTCATACAAACTCTTATGCACTTCAATTATCCAGAACTAAACAGTTAAACAATCAAATATAGGAAAAAAAAATTGCATATAAAAGGTCAGTTGAATAATCGTTCTTGATTAAATACATTTCATGTAGAAGTTAATTTTAACTGTTTTATATGTTTATTACCTTATCAATATGACAGTTCAGATTCATTAGCTCATATTCATAATTATCTTACCAAAACTGTCTATACAAGTTCTAGAAAGAACAGACTTTTTGGCCAAATGAGAGAACAGATTACTGGTCAAAATTTTAAATTCTTCTGTTCCAAAAAGAAATCAATGACATTGATATATTCTTCTTTACGGCCAACAAATTAATCAAGTAATATTCATTCTCTGAGAATAACCTATAGTGGGATGAGGTGTCCAAAGAATGGATACAATAAATTTAGCAGAACACTCTTTAATCAAAAGAGGAAATACCATTTGTTGTTTGAAGTTTTTCCTCAAACATGAGTCGACCGTTACCATCAAGCCCTCCATCCTGATATTAGAACCAAATATAAGTTATTAACTTATAACCTAAAATAAAGAAGGAGAAAATGGTTTCCTAGTAGAAGGTAACCTGCCTGGAAAATATAGCAAGGCCAGGGTGCCTAAGGTAACGTCAGGGTCTTAAACATTTTGGGCAATTTTCAAGTTTAAGAGACATGACTCCATCAATGGAAGAAAATAATGATGAAGGAACGTATAGAAGACAAATATAGTATACCAAAATTGCCGTGTCCTCAGTCCTACTTAAATGTATTTCTGAAAAAAACAAGGGGTGGATTCAAGTAAGAGAGAGCAACTCTGGCTCAGGTGACATTGCTATTT